GCCCCGGGGGTTTCTGCCTGCCCGGTTTCAATTCCACGACTTCCGGTGTTGCCATATAGCCTCGACAGGGCTTTTCTCCTGCCGATCAACCGTATAAATTGTCTAATTTTTTCAGGACGTTTCGAAGTACGAACACCTGGCACCGCAACAGGAAGCCCGCTTCTTGGTCACCAACTTCGTTCAGGACAACATGGAAATACCGGAAGTGCTTTTCCGGATGGTGACTAGGAAACGGTAGGCCGGGTCACCGCAAACGCAAAAAGATTTTTTGGAAATGGGTTTCCGCTTCAAATATCGAGCTTGAATGGATGAAGCTCTCAATGGCATTCTAATCGCTTTAGAGATTTATTTGTATTTCTGGAAGTTAGAGCCCAGTTTAATAAAGCTGAAAAATTTTTAGATTGAATTGACAAACCTGGAATTTTTTGGTATGATTTAGCTCTCGATATCTAGTCAGCGAAAGTGTTCGATTTTTGTTGCATTTTTCTGTAGGAATGCAGTGCTAAAAGGCATCACGTTAAGTTTAACTTCATACGTAATTCGTGTTAAATTTACTTTACATCTATTTTTTGGGCTTTTTTTTACTCAACTTAAGCCGGGTCAAGGGCCGTCAGGTTTATGTTTATTTCGCTCCCAACGACCCGAAAAATGCAAAAGTATCCTCGGTTCCAGATGATGAAGAACGGACACGTGTCTTTGGAAGGTTAGGCCCTTGGGGCGACGGTTTCGGGTCAGCCCGATATCGCTCCGGATGCACGTTTCCTGCACCTCGACCCGCACAATCCAGCAAAATAATCCGAGCAGCGCCGCGGGTGGGCGGAACATATTTTTGGTGCTGAACGTCATAATCGTCAAGTTTCAAAGAGGCGGGTTGGGGGTTACGGTAAGTGGCCAGAAAGGGCGAGTTTTAGCATCCAGGTGTAAGTGTTTTAGCTTTTCAACTTTGTATCAAGTTTTTGGAAAAATGCTAAGAGTGACTTAGGCTTCGGCTCAGGTTTCCATGGGCATAAGCTTAGGCTTAGCTCAGGCTTAGCTTGGGCTTGGGCCTAGACTTAACTTCGGCTTAGTTCAAGCTTGACTTGAGCTTGGTTTAGGCCTAGCTCGGCTTTGGCTTCGCCTAGGCCTGAGCTTTGTTTAGGCACGGCTTGGGTTCAAGCTGAGTTTAGTTAGGTTAGATCTAACCTAGATTAAACTTAGGTTAATTTAGGCTTAGGCATAACTTAGTTACTTTCTTACTTAACTTACTTACCGGTTTTTGTTAGTCTTACCTGAACCTATTTTAGGCTTCAGCTCACGCTACGTTTGGATGAAGCCTGCTTTTCGCGTAAATTCCCTTTATTTTTCCGCCATATATTACTTTTATATTTCAGGGCAGTAGCTTTTGCCCGGAATAACTGATAGAGACAGCTACCGTACCCCATCTGCTATAGTTCCCGATTCGACGCGCTGACCGCCCTGAAGCGGAAGCACGCCCTTCCGCGAAAAATCCCAAACAGGCATCCGCTTCATTTCCGAATCCAAGGGTGCGCCTATAAATGGAGGTGGAATGTGGAAAAATTCGTGGAAATGCGTATGTGGAGTAGCTGAATTGAGGGGTACGGTAGTCCCAGGCGCACGTTTCCGGTGGATCTGGAAAAAAACGTAGCTTTTCGGGACTTGAAGTTCTGACAATAAGCGTTCCAAAAAGCTAGCTACAAAAGGTACGAAAAATTAGCCCTGACGCCTTCACTTCTCAGAACGCAACACTTCAAGTTTCCCCCTCAAATTGAGGCAATTTGTGCTCTCATGCGGCAATTTTGAAGCGAAAATTTTTCCATCTTTCAAAGGCCATACCTTCGTAGTTTGGAGCTGAATAAAACCACAGAATACTCTGCCCAGCCATGCATTCAGGCCATGAAATGCCTGTCATTATTTCCGTTCAGGATTTCGGAAGAGGGCCTCCCACCTCGACGACTTACGGCGCGGGAAAATGCGTGAAAAAACAATGGCCATTTTTCGCGGGGGTCCTCTTTCTCTGTCTCTCTCCCTCTCTCTCTCTCTTGCTCTCTCTCTCTCTCTTTCTCGCTCTACACCTTGTACTCGCGTAATCGATTACGACACTTTTTTGGAAGAGAATCGACGCGGGCGCGGCAAAATCCCCCCATCCTCACCCTTCTAAACTTAAAAAAAAGGAAAACGAAGAAATCCATAGTTTTTTCTTGCCGGCCCCTTTAAACCCAAATCTCCGCTATTGTACTTTGGACAGCATTCTATATCTCGGGCCAAAACCACGTGTGGGTGTAGCATTCGTCCGCCCAATTACTTCAAGCCTCTACACCCTTGGCTGCGCTTTGTGTCCTGGGCCCGCCCCCCCTCTACCTCCATCTTCTGATGTTGGTTTGGGACCACAAAGACCCCCAACTCCTAGTCCACCACGTTCCCAAGACACTTCAGAATATGAACAGCTCGGTTTGGGTGGTTTTACTTGAAGCTTTTATAGGAGCGGTTGGGGTTAAGACTCGATTTTTTTTGGCTGATGCGCGCGGCGAATTGGCTTATGTTTAGGCTTAGGCTGAGGCTTGGGCTTAAGCTAGGCTGGGGCTGCAAAGGCTTAATTTAGGTTTAGGCTTAGACTTAGGTTCGGCTTAGGCTTAGGCTTAGGCTTAGGCCTCCGGGGGTGGTTTGTGGGGGGGGGTAAGCCCCCCGGGGGGGGGGGCCCGGGGGGTTTTATGGGGGGGGGGGGAGGGGGGGGAAGGGGGGGGTTTTGTTTTTTTGGGGTGGGTAATTAAAGAAGAAGCTGCAAAACCCGTAGTTTCAAGTATTTTAATGACATTTTTCATGGTTTTGTTTATTTTAATGCTTTTTTTTCTTAATTCCAACATCATAACCACAGAATACACCATCCAAACTTTCGCGTCCTTTTTATCCAAATGACAAGACCGGAAATGTTCTTCACACCCGAAAATTTGCCCAAATTCCTCACAACCCGAGACCAATAAACCAGGATTTATGTCTGCCGTCAATTTTCAGGGCTACGGTACCGTCGATTTGACCTAATCCATGTCACGCCGTAAATCCCCCCGGCGTCTCGGTTATTATTCGCATGGGTCCGCCCATAAATTATAGGTGGACCTTTGGGTGGGGCCCTGACAAAACACAAAGCCAAACGAGTGGTTCTCGATATTTTTTGGGGTGGTTATCGTTGTCTGGTATTGAAAATGGGGTCGATAGAGTGGGTAGATAAGTAAGTAGATAATTTATTCAATTAAAGCTAACTAAAAGCTACCCAATTTTCGTAAAGGTTGTTGTTCGTACTCTAGATATGTCAATTATTCAAAATACAAGCGTTGGTAAAAGGTCCCGGAAGTATTTAGGCTGGGCTTAGGCTTAGGCTCGGGGCTCAGGCTTGGCTTAGTCTTGGCCTAAGCTTGGCTTAGGCTTACGCTTAGCATGAGCTGAGGTTAGGCGAGGTTTAGGCTTAGGTTTAGGCTTAGGCCTAGGCTTAGGCTTAGGTATCGTCTTAGCCTTAGGTCTTAGGCTTAACTTTCCATGAGCTTAAGTTGATCTTGGGCTTCGGCTTTTAGACTTAGGCTTAGGCTTCGGCTACTGCTTAAGCCTCACCTTAGGCCTCGGCTAGGTTTAGAAACAGGCTTAGGTTTGGGATTACCCTTCAGCTACGCATATTTTGGACTCCATAAAATGCCCAGCATTTTGGATTCTCGAGAAAACTAACTTTTCCAGCCTGCGTCACGATTCAAGGTCACCAGCCGCATTTCGAAAAGAAAACATCTCTAATCCTCCCCACAGCGTCTCTTTGTCCCGCATTTCAAGATTTTGACGTGTTGCTGACAGAAAGTGACAGGATCGAGTGGAGCAGGCGCAACTTCCGCCTCGTTTAATTTTTGGAATTCCGGGTTTTGGACGTTGAGATAATTTGGGGGCTGCGCCAATCTTTAAGAATTGACATTTTGAAGAAAGAGGATTGTGTTTTACTACTGCTCGAAGCGTAAAAACCTCTGCAAAACGCAAAAAAATTCCAATTGCAAATTCCGCGATGCACTGCGACTCCCGTGTAGCCATACGCGCATCAATGAAAGCCATTTTAGGAGACGACCGCATATTTTTGGCACCTCCCTTCCCAAAATGGGTGCGTGTTGTTTATTAGGAGATGCGGAACCGTTTGTTCTTCGCTTTTTTAGGAAAGTTTAGCTATGGCCAAAATATGAATCCCGATGGGAATTAGCATTTTTTTAATTATTAATTATAAAAAACCATTTTTCCAAAAATAATTGTAAAATGAAACAAAAAGAAACTTTTTACACTTTCGGCGCCTAAAAATTTACCCAAATATGACAATATTAGCCGAATAAAATAGTAAATTTATTTTTAAATCATTTTGATCTTTTCCGATTTAGGAATTCGAGTCTTTTTGTAATTTATTTTTAGTTTTCTCTTCATGCTCAAAATAGCTTTTTTTTGGCTGACGTGCTGAAATCCGCCACATCTACCGTAATCCCTATTGCATTTCCCACAGCCGATTGAGCCGGAAATTTCGGATTTCAGAGCATTAAAACAGCAAAAAAATCAGATCTCGACTCAGTTAACCGATGGCCTTTAAGGTGGATTATCAACGAAGGAAATACCATTTGAACCGACAGGATTATGGGCATAAATGCCATATTTTCACACATTCCATTTCCGGTCCGCCCCCAACAAAAAAAAATTATTTGCCCATTTCGCGAGGGTCATTTTGCCGGCTAGAATAAATGGGTTTAGGCCCCCGGGTAGGCTTTGAATTTGAATTTTATGCGAACCCCGCGGCAGCGAATTGTATTAGCCTCCTAAACCCCAGTTAATCCTGTCTGACGGGCAGAAACGCGAAAAACAGATGCTTTCAATTTGGTTTTTGCTCATTCTCCTCAGATTTCTATACCTCGTTTTTGTCGTAAAACGGAAATCAAACATTATTTTTGTAATTTCAGTGCTTTCGCTTGGATCCACACCACGAAACCGCGGCCACGATGAACTCCTGCCTGCGATCCCTTATCCTTTGTAAGTTAATGGTTAATTAACTTGGAGCTTGACCCCCCGGCTTGGATTTGATTTGGTTTGGCCCGAATTGGCCTCTAACAAAGGCTTAGCTTATAAGGAGTGCTTTTTTTGAGTCATACGCAAATCATTTCCAAAGATAGTTCATTTGATACAGAATTTCATTCTGAGTAACGCTATAAGGTTCATTTTTGCAGAATGGCTGTCCCCGATTTTATAAAATTAAAAAACTAAATCGATGTTTTCCTACGTCCCTCGGCGCGCACCGATGGCAGGCATAGATCGCCACCAGGACAAGGGGGGCCTAGATGACTTCCCAATCACGATCGACGATAGCGCAGACGGTAGCGCGGTTGTCTTTGAAACTCTTTTGGACTTCTCTGGGAGGTTCGATTCGATTCGATTCGATCCACGTGTAATTTCTTTTGCTTTTTGAATTTTTATAGCGGGAATGGCTTTTTGGCTTCAATTACCATGGAATCCGGTCTATGAGCAGGCACGACTATAGTGAAATCCCGGCGAACAGTGACAAGGCCCGGGCCTGGAGACTTCACTTTGACCAACTTTGAAGCAATTGCCAACTCAAAAATGCAAAAATCACATCCCTATGTACGGAAACGCAATTGACCATAAAAAAAGCAAAAGAAATTACATTTGGAAGAATCGAACCTCCCGGAGAAGTCCAAAAAAGTTTCAAAGACAACCGCGCTACCGACTGCGCTATCATCAATCGTGATTGGGAAGCCATCTAGGCCCCCCTTGTCTTAGCTTCGGCTTCGGGTTACAGTGCAGTTTACCCCCCCCGCGCCCAGCTCCTCAGCCATACCTCCTATTAATGCGCCGAGTATCTCAAAATGTTCGCCCTGGTCGAAAAGCCCGAAAAAAGTTGTTTACTTGCGCCAAAAATTGTTAAAAATTTTTCATAACAATTCTAAGTCTCGGTTTTCTTTAGTCAATTTTTGCTCGCTCAAAGTGAATTTTCGTATCTCGGCTATCTTTTGACGTAGGGAGCTGTCAATAGTACCAAAATGTAGCTGAGCCTAACGTTCGAATCCTACAGCTTACATTACGTTTCAGTCGAAAAAACATCGGAAAATAAAAATAATTTAATTTGAAACACCGGGTACCCTGTACGATTACGACTTAATCTTTTCAACTTTTAAATTCTTGTAAAAAAAATTTCTAACAATTTTTGGCGCAAGTAAACAACTTTTTCGGAGATTTTCAACTACGGCGAACATTTTGAAATACTGGGCGCATGGGCTGGCGGGGGGTAAACTGCACTTTAGCCCGGCTTCGGGTTACGCTTGATTTTGCCTAGACTTCTGCATCTCCGTCGATCTTTGAATTATCCAAGATATTTCCACAGTTTTTCCACACTTTTATCTCATGGCTAAAGTTCCTATGCCGATTTGCCAAATTACGCCATGAAAATGCCGATTAAATCCTATATTCCACGGGCGGGTTTTTAGCCCTCAAACACACTGATTCGGGGGGGCGCAATAAAAGTGACAGCCTTTAGGTCGCGAATGCAACTGATTACTCGATGTTTTGTTGCAGGAAAAACTATTCAAAGTGTAACACAATATATTGCTTTGAACATTAGTTTATTTTATAGACAATATTAATGTACAAACGTTCGCAAGGGCTCATTGTATATATGCCCAGGTTGACTCTTTACAACGGGCGCTAAATCCTTCCTTGCTTGTACGTATAAAATCAAATAATTTGGAAAGAGCATCTGCTGGGAGACAATATCAAATATATTTCGTCGAGTTTTCTAGCTTCTCGGCTTGTCAGCACGGGTGCAATCAACGGAAACAATTTTGGGCCAAAATCCTGGCTATGTATGCTTTGCGCAAAATTCGACCGATATCTTTCCGGACTCGACGATCACTGAAGAAAGTATTCATATTAGTCAAAGCATGCTCTGTGGAAACCGAGCCAAGGTAGTCCTGCTGTTCAGAATTTTCAGCTGCTGTCGGATAGTGTAAGGCACCGCTAAAAATATGCTTACAGGAAGATTCGCCTTAGGAAGAAAGAAGCCGCTTTAGTTTTGGATTGTTTTCGTCTATAAGTTGAAAACCTCCCAATATCTCAGCACAACCATGTTCGCTTCATAATTGTGCCTCTAAACCTATGAGTACATAGGAAGCTCTAGGGTTTTTCATCGGTATCGCTTGGAATTGGCCTGAGAGCATCTTGAGCGGATACCCCAAAGTCATAATTCATCACCGATTTAGAATTCCTCTGTCAATCCTGATCACCCTCGGTGAGGCGCCTTGCTTTTCTCAAATTATTTGATTTTATACGTACAAGCAGGAAGGATTTAGGCCCGTTGTAAAGATCAACCTGGGCATATATACAATGAGCCCTTGCGAACGTTTGTACATTAATATTGTCTATAAAATAAACTAATGTTCAAAGCAATATATTGTGTTACACTTTGAATAGTTTTTCCTGCAACAAAACATCGAGTAATCAGTTGCATTACGCGACCTAAAAGGCTGTCACTTTTATTGCGCGCCCCCGCGAATCAGTGTGTTTGAGGGCTAAAAACCCGCCCGTCTATTTTCCAGTGGTCGCCTGCCTGCTGGCCCTCGCCCTCGCCTCGCCAATCCACAGCATTTGGGCCAATCTGCCCCAGCACGAGGTGAGATTTCGATCTAACCGGTTTACGCTTAAGCTTGGAGTAGGCTTGCCGAGGTCTGTTCAAAATTTCTAAAATTTGGTAAAAAAGCTTCAAAAAATTTGAATCAAATTTAGGTATTAAATTGGTCCCTAATATCGGGCAAACTCCGATATTTGATCTGGGAACCATAAAGTTCAAATATTTTCCAACATTTTTCGTACGTAATTACCGTTACCCGGAAGCGCGATTCCAGAGATGGCCGCCGCTGATAATGGGTGCTTTGCTCGGGGGCTGTTCCTTTTTTCTCGCATGCTAATTTCTATTTTGCCGCGATTTTCTGGGTGCGTAATTACCGGGGTCTACGGAGCCAGTAAAAATTCGCTCGTTTTTCGTGGAAAATGCAGTGATAGATTTTGTCCGATTCGTGAAAAAAATGAATTGTTGGATGTTTCTACTCGACAGAGAGCGCTTTGTAGGTTTGAGAAAACTGCAGTATAGAGTACCGTAGTCTTACGGGTTTGTTTTCACCTTTGGCTCTCTGTCTCTCCCCTCTCTATCTTTTTCTCTCTCTCTCTCTCTCTCTCTCCCTCTCTCTCTCGTTTCCAATTTCAGTCAAAACGGCAGCTTCTTCCAAAACTTATTTCCTCTTTCGTTATACCTTACCCGGAAAAACGATGCCACAAAGGCACTTTGCCAACAAGAATAAATGCAATTTTACCGGAACTTCCGCTCGCCATGGAGGCGATGGGCCCAGAAAGTAGGTGCTGAAGTGGGAATCCAATCAAAATAGCTAGGCTGGTAGTCCGCTCTAGTCTACGGAAGCAGGTGGTCTAAAAGAGGGAGCCCCACGTGGATGCTTGGGTAAAAATCATGGTGAATTTCGTTGTTGGATCGGCTTCAGGGGGCCGGGAAAGGAAAAGCGGTGTTGTAGAGTCGTTTTTAAATTTCGGAATTTAAAATAGCAACTTAACTCTCGTCACTTTCAAAAATAGGTAAGAAAATCCGAACTCACTCATTTGAGGTATGAGTGTCTTCGGATTTCCTTGCCTTCCCAGCACCTTTAATATGATGCGTAGCCGTGTAATGCCCTCAATCTCAACCGGGAGTAATCATCAAAAACTACGCCAAACACCTATTTCCGTTGGTATTTGATGAAATTACATGACCAAGGAGCAGATAAGAGGCATTTTCTAAACCCGAACTTTCCAACGTTATGCTTTTAAATCCACCGTGCAACTATTTACGTAAGTGTTTACCCGGATGATGTAATGACAAAAGATTCTCTCTCTTTCTCTCTCTCTTTCTCTCTCTCTCTCTCGCTCTCTCTGTTTCAAATCCGATAGACGTAGAAAATTTCAAACCCCCATTATCTCCCGATTTCTAAACCCAGACACCCGGCTGAGTGCATCATCATATTCGGACAAAGTCTGACAAATTTCGGGACCACGTGGAAACATAAATGTCTGAACGCGGAAAAGGGTAGGCGGGCGTGAGATAGGAAGGGTTGAATCCCAGCCGATGGGCCCTAATTGAAGAGGTGATGCGGAAATGGATTCAGAAATGAACGGGAATTCATCAGCCCTCGGTGCAACGGGAATTGTAGTGTGGTCGGGATGAATAATTCTGGTCGGGTGGGGATAGCATAAAGCTAGTAAAAAACACATATGGTGTTAGGTATCTTGATCGAGGGAGAGGGAGAGAGAGAGAAAGAGAGAGAGACAGAGATAGAGAGAGAGAGAGAGAGGAGAGAGAGAGAGAGAGAGAGAGAGAGAGAGAGAGAGAGAGAGAGAGAGAGAGAGGAGGAGAGAGGAAGAGAGAGAAAGAGAAAGAGGGAGAAAGAGAGAAAGAGAAAGGGGGAGAAAGAGAGAGAAAGAGAGAGATAGAGAAAGAGAGAGAGATTGATGTGATTCTACATTCTCAAAATTCTAAAAGCCTAAAAATAAATTATTTTTCCTTCCAAAGTAAACTCATTTCCTACTTACAAATTTCCAGGAGAAGCGCAGCTACTACGGCGCCTTCCAGCACGTGCCCGGATACGCTGAGGACGACCGGGACAAGAAGAACATGATGTGGTTCGACCGCGCCAACCTGGCCAACTATTGAGGCGCCACGAATTCAGAAGCTCTTGATACCCATCGGCGAGCCCAGGGCTGAATCCCGATTCTCTTCTGTATCAGAAGCTATGCCATTTGTCTTGAATTCCTGTCCTTCCCCCAATGACTAGTATGCGACATTGTGCCTCTAAAGATAAAGAAGTGTTGTTTGGAGCGAGGTGTAGTCACAATAAAAAGACACAAAAATTCATGAATTGGATATGGTAAATAGGTAAGAAACGGGTATAGCTACAATTTTCATGGCAAGCAAACAGAGCACAATGTCTATGAGCTATAGAATATAGGCGCCCGGGGCGCCAGAGGCCTCCCAGGCACCCCCGGGGCGGCCGAGGGCGCCTGTGGCGGCGCCGGGCTGACCAAAAGGCGCCGGAAAACCGAAATGCAAACAAAATGCGGTTATAGGAAATGAGATTTACCGCTGATCCAAAAAGAAGGCCAAACTATTGTTGATTGGCCTATAATTTTTCCCTGATCCTTTCGCATTGTAGAGGAAAGGGTGTTTATGGGACCAACTTTTTTCTAAGGACCTTGTTTGCTAAAAGAAATAGTGGAAGCTGAAACTGTTGTTATTATTCTTAAACGAAAACTCCAACTGGACGAAATACAAAAATCTATTTCCAATTCCAATTTTTTATTTTTTTCACTTAAAAGTAGTTAAATTTATTAAAACATTATTAAAAGGATGACTATACGTTACTAGGCTTTTCTATGCAAGAGAAAAGTTATTTGAGGTTGCTCTCTACTGTCCGTTGCTCTTGCGCTTGAAATGAATAATTAACATTAGAATCGAAGATTGCATAATCTCAAGGCTTGGACCCCCCGCCCCGTTAAAATCATAGGGGCGCCCCGCGCCACTCGGCACGCCCCTAGGTGCCTCAGGGCCTTCCCCGGCTTCGACCCATATATACTATAGAAACACATATCAGAGAGAGAGAGAGAGAGAGAGAGAGAGAGAGAGAGAAAGAGAGGGAGAATGAGAGAGGAGAGGAGAAGAGAGGGCGAGCGCGAGACGGCGAGAGAAAGTGAGAAGGAGAAAGAACTAACTTCCCACTTAGAACTAACCGCGCCTCCTAAAATAGCCAGCCCTAGTACGACTGATTTCAAAAACAATAAAAATTGCCGGATTTAAAAATGCATATCGTCGCTTCATTATTCATGCCAGACATGGGGCGGCCAGATGAACGAAATTGGCAAATTTCTAAATTTGGACAATTCGTTTAAAACTATCCCGGTGCTGTATTTTAATTTCAAACTCTTATAAAAGCCCGACTCAAGAGGTGGGTAGCTCATCGAAATCTCTCGACCAGCCTCTGAGACCATGCTTCACGGTTTGGCCCTGTTGGCCACGATTTTTGGGCTGTCATCGGCGCTTGAATCTGACACGGACCTTGACAAGGTCCAATACCCAAAGTGTCCACTGGGAGATTCTCGTTGCTATTGGTTGGAGGTGTCGAAGATCGTCACGCCGGAGAACTTTGAGTGGCAAAAGGTAAGGAAGGAAAGAGAGAGAGAGAGAGAGAGAGAGAGAGAGAGAGAGAGCTCTCCGCCGCTCTTAAATGCAACAATGACATCGAAATCTATATTTTTCGACCTACGACAACTGGCCGGTGGCCCTCTGGGAGGAGCATGACTGGGACAAAGACGTTATGCGCACCACCTGCAACTTGACGTTTTTATGTAAGTAATTTGAGCGTTTAATTATTGTTCTAGTCCTTATTAAATGTTATCATCAACATTAAATCCCAATTTAAGCGCCCGGCTATCAAAAGGGGTGCGCCCAATTCGACAAGTACTACGCGAAGAAGGGAAAGGATCGGATGTACGTGAAGATCCGGCTGACGCTGGAAAACGGGAAGGTATGTTGCCTTGGTTTAAAGTAAGCTATGTGTTCTGTATCCTCCTGACCCCTTTAATGGCGAAATGAAAACAAAATGATTATTTTAGTTCAAAACGGTGTGCTTGCGCCCGTTCGGGAAGAGTCGGCTGCAGTATCAAAAAGGTGCAGTTTGTTCTCACTCACTGTCTTTCTCTCTCTCTCTCTCTCTCTCTCTCTCTCGATTCAGCTCTCTCGGGGAATTTTACATCCTTTCAGTGGTTGGTGACCTGTACTTGATGTCGCACCTGAAGGCCCCGTACTGCAGCTTCGGCTACAAGATCAAGGAGGACAACGGGCCTTGGGAGAAGAAATGGGAGACTTGCAGCGATGAAGACTGTAAATGGGAGGCTTCGTAACCGTTTCGTATTGGTTGTCAGAATAAATTGTATGAGCACGATCAGTTAGTGAAGAAGCAAGATGGAGAGAGAGTGTGTGAGAGAGAGAGAGAGAGAAAAGCAGAATCCGTCGAAAAAAAACAAATCATTCCTTGCTGTATTTCAATTTCCCGGAACTTGAGGCGCCCCGTCAAAAGCATACTTTCGAAAAGGCTCCGAACCATGTTCTGGTACCTGGCCTGGTTGATGTTAAATTTCGGGGCCGTATCATCAGACATCTACGAATATCCCGAGTGCCCAATGCCGTTTCTCCGTTGGCGCTGTCTCTGGTTTGAGGTGACGAAGGTGGTCGTGCCGGAAGATTTTGTGTGGAAACCGGTGAGTTTTTTTTGGGTTTTTTAAAATCTACCCTCTAACTATGTCGAAAAGCGGCGAGAAAGCGCGCTAGAGGGTGAGAGAGAGCGAGAGAGAGAGAGGGAGACAGAGAGAGAGCGAGAGAGAGAGAGTTCCAATCAATTACGCAGTTTAAATAGCGTCAAGCCATGCCGTTTCCATAAAAACCAACAATTTTCGAACTATGACGGCTGGGAGATTGCTGTCTGGGACTACGTGTGGGCGCGAAAGGACCGGAAGCAGTCCTCGTGCAACCTGGCTTTTCCAAGTATGACTTTTACAGTAATTTGGGCGTATTCTACAGGGAGTGCCAAACATACTTTGTTCGTATTTGGATGTCTTTTATCCGATCGCGACCAAATTTTTACCTGCGATGGGGGCCCATAAAACCTATTTGCAGCCAAATTTTCCAAGAAAAAACTGTAAAGGAAAAAGTTATCGCTGAAGAAAAGTTTGGGTTCGGTTGTTGACCAATTGTTGACTGTGTTTTTGCGATTAGCATGCCAATTTTAAGCGTTTTCCCAAAAATCGGTCCTTTGCTCGTTTGTTTTCACTGATTTTAGTGAGAAAAAGTAATGGAAAGTCCACTTGTAATTTATAAACTACTTTGCCCTTTTTAGAAAACTTCCACCAGCGGGGTTGCACGCAGTTCGCCAAGTATTTTACGAGAAATGGTGAAGATAAGTTTTTCATCAAGATTGGCATGAAGCTGGAGGATGGGACGGTTGGTGGAAATTACTGACCGAAGGATTAGGTCTTTAGGCCAAAACGGTATGTCTGCGCCCGATTGGCAAATCTATGCAGCGTTACCGGAAGGGTCAGTTTGCATCCGGGAAACCGATGAGGCGAGGCAGTCAAAACGCCGACAACCGAATTTACAACGTCAAAAAATGCAAAACGAATTATTTTCGGACCCAAACGATTTAATCGCAATTTGTAGAGTCAAAAAAAAACAAAAATAAAGTAGATTTTTGATATTTTCAATAGTTTTCGTCTTTTGTAAACTTCCATTCGATAGAGGCCCAAAAATAAAGAAAAAGCTTTGTTTACACCAGGAACGGAAATAACGGGCCAAACTTCATATGATAAAAGAAAACTTTCGGTGAAAAACCTTAGTAATTCTCCTCATCGAAGGCGCTTCAAAACTCGAAAATATCAACCCGAAAACCCCCCTTACCCATCCCATGTAAAAAATTTTAGCTATAAAGTTTTAAATACACCAAAAAATCTCTTAGTAATTTTATTTCATCGATCCGTTTAAAATACGAAAATCTCAAAATTTGGCTCCCCCTTATCCATCTCCAGATTTGCACAATTTTTTATTCGATAAAAAATTTCATTTACATTATTTCGGGCTGAATTATTTTCCTAGGCAGTTTTCGACGCTTTATCGAATGGCGTCTTCAATACCGAAATTTCGAAAATTTCAAAAATTTACTTCCCCTTACTATGACTATGACCCTAGTGTACTACACCCTTTTCTGGCCTGAGCTTTTGTCGGCTTTTTGTCAAATTCGAATTCATTTTTCAGCAATCGGCGAACTGCACCTGACGCCCCACCTCGCGAAACCGTACTGCCACTTCGAGTTCAGATACCAGGCCAACGATGAGGCATGGCAGGAGCAGAAGGTCGAGTGTGAAGAGACGAGGTGTACCCCGGGGGAATGGTAGGAGGATTCGCGACAAAATAAATTGTTGAAACAACCCATTTATTATTTTACACCTGTGATTCTCAGATGGAGCTTCGGTATTAAAATGCCGACAGGTGAAATGTCGACGTCCGAAAACTGGCTCGCCGAAATACAATAGAGCATACTGCATTGCAAAAAAAACAAGAGAAAATTCATGTCACGTCTCGGCATTTACGATGCAGCGGGATTTGGCTTGTCGGCATTTTGGCCCTCCGCGTTGTCCTGTCGGCATTTTGCGTCGGGATTCTGATGGTGGCAATTTCAGTCGTACGGATGAACGTGAGCAAAAAAATTATAATGATTTTGATGTTTTTCGTGTGTCGGCATTTTGTTTCGGTATTATCGTAATTAAAATTTCGATTGCAGGGATATAGGCAAAAAATTTCACTTTTGAGCATTTCTGGTTTAGATGTGTTTCACCTGTCGACATTTTCGATATCGTGAGTTGTCTCTCCATATCCCCTTTACCAGTCGGCCTTTCAGTTGTCGATGTTTCGAATTACGGCATTTTCGGCGTCGGGACCTGCCTGGCGACTTTGGCAATCAGTTGTTAGCCGGATGTCGGTGCCGTGTCGGTATTTCGGTTTGGGGTTTCATTTGTCGGAATTTCCAGCAAATTCAAATGGCCCCACATCGCCTTTAAAATGCCTACCCCATCCTTCGTGACGTCCCCAAGGCATCGCTCATCAGATTTGGGTGAAAAATAGCAACAGTCTCCCACCCTCTATGCCCTTTCCGGCCCCATCCGGCCGGCCGGAGGTTCGAAATCGCAAAAAGGGGGGCGTGGCCCCGCGCGCGGGGTGGGGTTTTGCGCGGTGCGGAAGAAGGTTAAAGGGTATATCTAAGGGGGGGTAGAGGTGTGGGTGTGTGTCGGTCGTCTCGCGGGGGCCCAAACGATGGGCCCCAAAATAGGAGAGCCCACCCCAGGAATTTCGCGAGGGAGGGCCCATCTGTTTTAGTCCAATTTCCGAGGCGCCACCACCCTTTCGTCCCCTGATTTTAGCGATCGTAGTATGGCGTCGTAAAGTTTCGAGCGGCGCGTCATTTGTAGTCTCTCGGATTTATTTCGAATTCTGGAGGTTTTAAAGGTATGCCAGCAAGCTTTCCCCTATTTAAGATCAATTCAAATCGATTAAACGCGATTTTTACGGAATCATACGGTAGCTCGCCAGCCTGAATTACCTATCGTAACCAGGTTTTTGGCTTTTTTAAGTATAGAGGTACAGCCGCCTGATTGGAATTGCCTGGCGTAATTGAATGAACCCAATTCCATGATAAACTATACTTTAAAGGGAGCGTGACGGCAAGGCCCTCGACTCATCCCCCACTCGTCTTTAAGTTCCATACTCCTATTTTTTTTAACGTTTTCATCATTTTTCCATACGCATTGATGGATTTTCCGTCTCTTTCGAGCATTAATAGATCATTTCCGCCCGATTTCTGCAAGTTCTTAGTCCCCCTTAAACCTTAGAAAACCTCCGGTTCTTGCCATGCAGCGGAACACCTTTTGATCGGTCGTCAGCCTCGCATGCCATAATCCAATTTGTCGCCTTTTGCATTAATTTCGCAGCTAGGATCCAAATATAAGCGTCCCATTTTCAGGGTACTCTCCTATCTAGCTAATGCAGAGCTGTCTACGCCAAATCCTTTTCTGTAAGTTTCCGTCCGTCATCTTTGGAAGACCCGAAATTTTTAGGTTCTTGCTTGTTGATATGCGTAATTGTTGCGCTGCCGATTTATAGTAATGATGAGGAGGCGTTGAGACCAATGGTGAGTGTTTATCCTGGAAAACGAGAGAGAGAGAGAGAGAGAGAGAGAGAGCTAGTGAAAAGGGAGACGCCGCGACTACGGTAGCTTTTCTTAAGTCTCACCACGGGTCGCTCTCTTTCTCCTTTCTCTCTCTCCCTGCCTCTCTCTCGCTTTAAGAGAGCAAAAAACTCTAGAGTTAGGTTGCTCTAACCTATTCGAAAAATTTTAGGATTTTATCTAGAGGGAAAGTAGCGGAAAATCATTTTCTTATGGAAACATTCACCTGCTGCCCGCTCCCCTTAATACCCAGAATTTTCATTTTTTTGCATTTTCAGACGAAGCGCTCCTTCTACGGCATGTATCAACACGTCCCCGGCTACCTGGTCTCCGGCCGGAACAAGAAAATGTCCTACTACTTTGACGAACCGTACATCTACGAGTAGACGCTTGGAATGGACCAATAACAAACACCAAAAATCTGGAGAAATCAACCACGTGTGCCTGCCTGTAGTGCGTCGGAATAAAGCTGTCGAAAGAAGTGCTTACCATAAACCGTAACATACACGTGTATCCAGCGGTGAAACAATTATAATGTCGACAAGCGAATGCCGGCTTCCAAAATGTCGACAAACTAAACGGTCCGGTCGGATTCCGAATGAGAAAATGCCGACGTTGAAGATGCCGACACACATACGGTTGCAAATCAAGCCTTTCTGGCGTATAATCCAACTTTTTGGATGTCGGCATTTTGGCCATCATCGTTTTGGATGTCGGCATCTGGCCAGGGAGGGAGGGGGAGGGGGGAGGGGTACAAGGTCCGGAATTGGCGGAGCGAGAAATCAGGCGAGCGGTTTTGAACGAGGTTTAGTGCACCTAAGGCACTAAAAAAATTTGTCGGCATTTGAGCAGTCCATTCTTTGTCCGTCGCCGTTCCAGCACCTAGAAACCTTAGCTTGGCTTAATAAAAACTGAATTTCTAGATGCTGTATGCGCTTTACGAAAATTTCGGAGCTGTCCCCCGCCTTCCCAGTCCCTTTAAAACTCCACGCCTCAGACTACTCTAATCGGCGGCACTTATCGCATTCCCTAATAGACGGCCCTGGGATCCGAATAGCATATTACCGCAGTATAATATCTTTTTCTCCTCCTTCTTTGCATCGTCATCCCTCGACTGGGCCCCATAGCGTACCCCTAAAATCCCTTCCAAATTATGCATGCGCCCATTTCCGCGTTGTCGCGGGAAAACCCGGGTGCAAGGAGAGAAAGGGAGAGAGCGAGCGAGAGAGATAGAGAGAGTGAGAGAGAGAGAAAGAGAGGGAGAGAGAGAGAGAGAGAGAGAGCGAAAGGGTAGCAGTAGCACTGCAAGCCCAGGGTTGATAGTTTAGTCGCATTTTAGAATGGCAGCAGGTGTTGGAGGGAAGACGCGTGGGTTTTACGTAGTTTTGAGCACCTGGCAGTGCAAAACCTAGATACCGTAGTCAGTCGCATACCAAGAAATGGAAATTTGAGAAATCTAGGAAATTGCCGCATTTCCAAAATTAATGATAAGCTGACCGTGTTTCCTTTCATTAGCGCTTGGATAAAGTGACACAAGACAAGTGACAAAAAGGTCAGAATTCAGAAATTTTTGCAGTTTTTTGCAGTTTTTTTAGGTATTCCATCGACTATGTGAGTTTCACGCGTTTGCCGTCCAAGAAAACCACTGCTCCCTTCCTATTTTCATGCCGTTTGCCGTCACTGATTTGATCGCCTAGCGGCCCCAATTTTCAGCGCATAAAATAGAGTTCAGCGTGTTGCATTGGGGCGGGAAACTCGTTTTCTAGGTCCGTTTGGACTTGTTGTTCATGGGTCAGAAAACATAAATGGACGTTTCGACGTACTAATACTTGAAAAAATCATATTATGCGGATAACCAGTGGAAAATGTCCGCTTCGCGGCCCTTTTCCACTGGCACCCGTCTAGGAACGAATACCTCTTCCGTTTTCCAAGTCTGCGCGCAAGAGCCCGACTCTAGGGACCATTCTCCCGCGGCGCTAGCTACTGGTTTCTCCAGCATTTGCCCGGCGCTAGAGCCTGGGCCAAGGACCGTGCTTTGCCTTCGGCGCTAGAGCGAGGGACTGGCCATGATACCGAGAGCCTCGAAATATGTTGTGTTGTTGAACTATCAAAAGCAAAGTTAAATTTCCGAGGATCCGAACCCTCGCCTATCCGCGTGGTGGACCGGGCGTCTAGAGATTATACCAAAGACGGCATGGAGAAGGGTGGCGGGAAAGGCTTCTTCTGTGCTGGGGGCGTGGTGACCCGGGAGAGAAGCTTCCTGGTAACTTTACAAAATCGCTTTTTTTATTCTGAATGCGCCGATAATTTGTAAAACTAATAAGATGCGCGTAATCCCCACTATGGAATACATCAGTGGTCCAAATTACAGACCGAAATTCCATCAGGGCTACCAGTTATGGCCTGGACACCACGGCTCGTAGCCCATTTTGTTAAGGATTTTCACCATTTTGTTTGTAAAATTGTTAAATAAAAGAATTTCGAAAAACGAAAAAATGCGTGTCTGGCAAATGTGTTTCTCCACCACCATGCCAAAAATTCGATATTCGCCTGACGGCCGAGAAACGTCATTAAGAACAGACACTTTTCGCTTATAGGATAGGATTGGATCGAACGATTTTCACTGGTATTTTCTGTAGTTTTGATAGTTTAATGCACGTAGGAGGTGTTCAAGGGGGACGGGCAATACTTCTAAAGAATCCAGAGTTAGAAAATCCATAGACATCTCTTTTCGGTTCATTTAAAGTTTTAATACTTTGGAAGCTAGAATTTAAAGGAAATGATAAATTAAAGGTCACTAATTTACTACTAGAAATTTAGAGATTCATCTGCAAAAAAAAGTTTCTTTTGAGTTTCTAAGTCTTTTTTATTGTTTTTTTTTCCATTCAGAACTCCCTAGAGCCCAGAAAAAGACCTACATCACTAGGAGATATTTATAAACGACTCTGCGTAGCTCTACAACAAGCGTTCTAGCCCGACAAAAACCCGTTGACCCCCACACATCATCGCCGAGAGGGCCCATTAGAGAGCGCCGACGACAACTCCCAAATGCAAGAGGCCGCTGCGACCAGAGATTCCAGCAGCCCTAGTAGTCCACCTTAAAAGTGGCCCTTTGACGGCTATTTTGACGAACATCACATCCTCCCCTTCCTGGCGTTGACGCGACTGACCGGCCCTTTTTTTAGAGCACACACCATTTAACTGCAACTCTACCCCCGGGTCCCCTCATAAAACCCGGAAATGTTTCCATTTCCGGGACCAAAAAAGGCCGTAGGGGTTGGTCTGTAATTCCGAAAAGTTCACTGAAGCGAGACGAGTGTTTTTAAAATTTATTTGAACTAGAAGGACTAGAAAACTGGGCAGTTGAGCAATTTTGGTCAGATCTGTGGGAATTAAGTGATACCGACAATCAAATAAGTAAAAAAAACGATGAATATGTTTTTGATGGGTAGGATTTCATAAATTAGGGCATGAGAAAGGAGAGAAAGATCGTGAAAAATCACGAATGATCAATTTTTCCTTTAATTATATAGGAAACACTATTTACAGACATATCGTTTTCGGAAAGGCGGTTAGCGAGATGTTAAGGCCCTTCAAAGGTTCTAGATAATGTTTGATTCCATTAATGCGTTTTTTAGCTGCATCAGTTCTTCACCAAATTCTTCATACACTCCTGCTTATACATCGGATCGCCCCTCCGGCAGCCAAAGTGTTTGGTGAAGTCCTGCGACATTGAGAACGCGGTGTTCACCCTAAAAGCGGAATTTACGACTTTTTGATAGTGCCCATTTTTCCTGTAGAGCATAAAATCACAAATTTTTCAATATTTAGAAATACAGGGTGCCCCAAAAAAATCGACCCCCCTCTAGCGGTCCGGAGACATGTCGGATCGCGCAGATTTTTACACCATTCGAAAGCCCTTGAAACGGCGAGAAAACAAGCGCTTTTCGTTTTGCAAAATTTTTTAACCCGCGCTTGATATTCAACGATTTCTTAAAAAAAGCGTAAAATCAGCACCGTCCTGTTTGCTTTAGCAAGCAATTAGCATGCTGATTTTACATAAAACCTGCAGTTTTCCTGGATTTTGGCCCTAAATTTAGCGAATAAAAATTAATATATTAAAAAACGAAAAATGCTTGTTTTTTCGCCTTTTCGAGAGCTTTCGATAGATACCTGAATCGTCAAATCGGTCTTGACTGCGGCCCGCTAGAGGGGGGTAGATTTTTTTGGGACACCCTGTATTTTATTAAGTTACGTAACCATGATTTTTTCTAAGCTTTCCGGATTCCAAATGAATGCAGAGGCATTAATAGGTTTTCGTCCGCCTGGCACCGACAAGGAAATTTAGTTAGCCGCCCAACTATGACCTTTTTGTCCAAAAAATAAAGCCGCAAAATGCACTTACACGGCCTCGTAGAACGACCCAACCTGGAACCCCTCGCGACTGCAGTACATCTAAAGCCAACAAATACGTTTACATAGTTTTTATCTCGTCATCGAATCCAATCCGACCGGAAGGGATTGAGCACGGTTCGCCAGTTTCTAGTCTCCGAGGGCTGGTGGCAACTTTTCCGTGACGCTATGTCCGGTATGAGAACGGAAACTTGGAGCATTTGATGGCGGGGCAAAAGTTCGGCAGGTGAAGCTTTGGAGAATAAAAATACGAGATCAGCTGGCATTTTCACCTGGCACCACCCGGTTTTTGGATCAGCAAAAGTGGCGATGAATGTGAGTGAGAGAGAGAGGGAGGGAGAGAGAGAGAGGGAGAGAGCGAGAGAGTGGTACTTCCCAGTACATTTAAAGATAATCCGGAAAACTTACCGTCCCTGCCGCCACATAAAACTCCTCCATGACGTCCATCCGCCGGTAGATGGGCAGATTTCGCTCGATATGGCTGGCGTTCGGGTCTTTCCACCGTCGATAGGAGTATTCGGCCGTCAGGAGAGCGTCGGCGATTGAGACACTGTTGATCAGGTCTCCCTAGAAAAGATGTTTTGTTGCATTTTGAAGACTTCTTGCTGTCAGGGTCCCTTTAAACGTAAAAACGTGGCCTGAGCCTGAGCCTAAACTTGAGCAAGAGCTTAGCCTAACCCAGGCCTTAGACCATTCTCAAGCCTACGACTTAGACTTAGACTTAGACGCCACCGCTCGAACCCAAGCCCAAGCCAAGCCCAAGCCAAGCACCGGCCAAGCCAAAACCAAGCCCAAGCCTAAGCCCAAGTTTGAGCATGAGCCTAGTTAACCAACCGAAAACTCGATATTCTGGAAATTCTCAGCCAAGTGCTTCCTGAATTCCGCCTCAAAACATAGCAACGGCATCGTGGCGGCTTGTTCCTGGATTGAGGAATTATATGTCGTAATCGAATGCTTATTACCTGCCAATAAACCTTGGCCAACAAATTAAGTACTGCGGTCCCGTAGGTGGCAAAGATGGAAAAAGCCGGAGCCTCCGATCCGGGGATAATTAGGGGTTCTTGGAGGGCGGCTAGTGGGATTACTGAAATATATGAATTAAAGCTGGCATACTGTAGTTGTTACTATTTTTATTCAATCTGAAAATCAATTTTTTTCGAAATAGCTTTTGTTTTTTGCTTGCGATACCTACGTTTTTGCAGTATTCGCTTGAAAAACATCGATAGCGTTCAAATCCTGGAAGGTCCAGCTGTCACTATCCCTTTAAAACGCAACGATCTTAGAGGCCAAAGTTCTGTCAATTTCAATGGCTCAAGTATTACTTTATTCCTGATGAATTTTTCCCTTTTCAATCTCACTCCCCCGACACTTTCTGACCTGGAAAATCCGCGATTTATTGGCACAAGGCGTGTAAGTTGTTATTGAAACTTAATGGGCATTTGATGGAAACTTTTGTCGTCCGGAAACTTCCAGAAGTTACTATTTCGAGCGCAATAAACACTTCTGATGGGCCGATGCACGAACATTGCATAAAACTCACGCAACGCATTCTCATTTCTGCTGCCCACCAACTGCGGTTTGAGCGGCTGGAATCCGGTGGAGTCATCCGGTGACAGGGGACGACCCACCTGAACGTGGAAGGGTGTGAAATATGGAAAATTTTCTGCGACCAAAGTACGCACTTGTCATCGAAACGTCAGAAACTCCAACGATTACCTGGGCGAAACGCATGCGTCTTTGGTGCCTTACGAGTTGGGTCATGGCGAGGAAATAGTCGGACGTGTTGAGGGAGACCTAAAAATTTGAAGTTAGAGAGCGAGGGAGAGAGAGAGAGGGGGGGGGGGGGGGGGGGGGGGGGGGGGGGGGGAGAGAGAGAGCGTGGGAGCACGCACCGCTAACGTATCAGGCATGATGTACTGCTCATCAAGAAGCTTCCCCGGATATCCGATCAACACTCTCGTTGCCGAAGAAATTGATGAGAGCCCGGGATGCGCGGCAGCGAAATCATCGCGAAGCCGGTCGGTGAGGGTTTGGGCCTAGAAATGGACCTGGAACAAGCATCAATGGAAGCTTATCAGTAAGGACTCAGTTTTGATTAACTAAGAATAGATTTTCGCCTCAAGATATCATTTTTTCGTTGGATTTTTGGTCTTGGGGCAGCAGTACCGAATTGGGTGCTTTAGGATTCGCGGGGGAAAATCAAATTTTTTTCGGCACAAGCCTAGATTTTTAGAAATATCGGATGCGTTTATAAATTGTTTTTGAGCATTCCTAATCATAAAAACTACACAAATTTTAATTTAAAAAAATCAACTTTAGGTCGAACAATCCCGTAGAACCTTTAGGATTCGCGGGGGGGGCGGGCCCGAAATTACCAAATGTTCGACTTTTTCAAACATTTTTCTAACCTTATTTAAAAGCTTTTTTACTTTAATCATTGCTAAAACTTATAAAAACAATTTGAAAACACTCTATATTTGATTACTAGGTCAACCGGGACCGCCAGGAAAAAATTGGTTCCCCCCCCCCGCAGGAATAGTCCCACACGCTGCGAATCCTAAAAAAAGACCCGAATCGATTACACTAAGTGATTTGGACCCATCTTTACGCCGCTGCCGTTCGCACTGATTACTGTAGCGCACAAAAACCTAACATTTTTTCGATTTTTCGCTGGCTATTTGCGTATCTTTTCTCATTCACTCTGCGTTGAATTCCTCTGGATTTCAAGTACACCTTGGGTGCCACCAGGATTCCACCGGAAATTGTGGGCGCCCCCTTACAAGGAGCCGCTTTTAGGTGCTTTTGGAGTTTCGGGGCGGGACCTAGCTAGTTCGATAGAGAAAAAAATTCTGAGCAACATGCCATTTTCAAAAAGTGCTGATCGATAAAGGAATTCTAGAAAATTCAATTTAAAGCTAGCGATTTTTTTCTAGTTTTCGGGTCCTTTTCCTCGGTTCGCGTCGTTGTCGGGGCTTGGCCGGTCACCATTCATAACCCTCCGCCAAGGCGTCCATCACAGGTTGCATTGGCTTCTTGGTAGCGCGCTTGCTTACCAACTTTTTAACATTTTTTTGCCTCGGGTTCGAATTTTCGCGCTGGCTAACCCTTTGCTTTTTATTTCTTGAACCCGTTATCGGTGCATAAAATTTTAATTAGCAAAAAAGCAAAGAGTTAATAATAAATAAGAGTCGAACTTGTGGCAAAGGTAAAAAAAACTTCGTAGGCCAACGCACTAGCTACTTGGCCATGCCTTGGACGGGATTCATGACGCGTGAAGTCCCCATGTGGCAGGGGCGCTCGACACCCGCAAATCACCTCAAATCACCACAGGGTAGCCGATACCGGGAACATTTTTAATTAACTTCAATTTTCTAAAACACCTCATCATCGATCAGCACTTTTTGCAAATAGTATGTTGCTCAGAATCTTTTTCTCTATCGAACTAGCTAGGTCCCGTCCCGAAACTCCAAAAGCACCTAAAAGCGACTCCTTGTTAGACTTACCGCCGCCATCGAGATGTTGTGCCGTTTCGTCACGTAGAGATGGGCGAACAGGTCCGTTTCCTGTACCCCGCGGGCACACTCTCGCCACCTGTAAGAATTGGGATTTCCGGGACTTCCGGAGTTATCCATTTTGGCCGCAGCCGGATAAATCTAGCTATATCGGTCCGGGGGTTGTTGGGATTAGGGTAATCCAGTTTTTGGTGAGTGGAAGTCTGGGAGAAATTTAAACTTATATGTATGGGAGGTAGGGATCATTTTACACGCTATTGTACAGAGAAAAATACAGTAATCCCCTTGGAACATTTTTTACGCCTAGAAAATGTCTACTTCTTATTCTTCAGCGATTTATTTGGGCCTCAGAAAACGGATTACGGAAAATAAGAAATCCTACGTGACTTTTTTCCTGCAATTCATAAAAACCTACGTTGCATTCTCCCCGGCGAGCACAAGGTTATCCCGAAGATTTATCCCGGCCACGAGTGTCAGGTAGTTGGCGAGGGCGCGTTTCGGGGACCGGCTTGCTAATATTAGAAAGTTAAAATTAAAAAGTAAGGTGATCATTACCGATCTGGGCCAGTTGTTGGAAGTATTCAATGTCGTAGACGATGATCGGGTCGCCACTGGCCCAGCTGAGGATGCCGGAGAAATCGCCACTGAGGTATTCGGTCAGGTTTATCTGGAAGTTAGAGATCAGAGAGAGAGAGAGAGAGAGAGAGTGAGTAAAAAAGAGACAGCGAGAGAGAGATCGAGAGAGATAGAGAGAGAGAGAGAGTGAGTATGTGAAAAAGAGACAGCGAGAGAGAGATATATAGAGAGAGAAGGAGAGAGAGCGACCAAGAGAGACAGAGAGACAGTGAGATAAAGAGACAGAGAGAGTGAAAGAGAGACAGCGAGCGGAGAGAAGGAGAGAAGCGAGACGAGATCGAGAGAGATAGAGAGAGAGAGAGTGAGTATGTGAAAAAGAGACAGCGAGAGAGAGATATATAGAGAGAGAAGGAGAGAGAGCACCAAGAGAGAGAGAGAGACAGGAGAAAAGGACGAGAGAGGAAAGAGAGACGGAGAGGGAGATAGTGAGAGAGAGCGAGAGAGAGAGATTTACTTACCATCTGATTCATCTGCACAAATTCTCCAAGTGGCATCACCGTTCTGGAAGGGGCGATCTGTCGAGTTACCTAAAAACCGCTTAACCCCTGAGAAAACAAAGATTTAGCTAATAGCTGAATTTTCAATCATTTTGTTAATAAACTAACATTATCCAACTCGACGATAAGCTGCGACACCTCTATCAGCATATCATGCTTATCCCCAGAAAGCGGCTTGACGCGCAGCAGCTGGCTCGCCTAAAAAAATCTTCAAAACCTGGAATTTTCCGCTTTACCAAATCGTTCAAAAGATTTTGTCGCAACGCCACGGCCAGTAACGGCTCGAACTCGGTCTCGTGCATATGGGTTTGCAGCAGCTTTGACCTGATCGGTGCCAAAAAGCCATCGAGCGCCGGGGGTCGGAACTGAAAATGTGATGAGCTTGGCCTTATCGATTATCCGGGTGACGAGTGGACTTTTATCGATCGAACAGTCTTAAAAACGGGCGTATGGTCGCAAACTACTTTCTTATACAAAATCGTATAATACTAGCGTACGTAACCATATACTTTTATTCTGACTACGTTACGATACGCTCTTAACGATGCACTATGCGATACGCTACTTACCGATAGACGTAAGATACGATCGTTCGGGTCCGGAATTTCTGAATCTGCCACCAACAAGTTATACTTTCCGACGTATGGGTCCATCATTCCTGCATTTCGCTCCCATCTGAAAAAAACAAGTATTTCCTTATTGTTAATTTTTTAATGATTAATTTTAGGTATTAGAAGAAGACAAAAACCAGCTTATCAAAAAAGTACTACTTTCTCTCATTTTTGGTCCCATATTATCTACCAAAAATCGAAAATTTATATAAGTTTTGCGGAAATTTTTATATTTTGGATTCCGTGTGTTTTCAATTGGCGTTCAACCATTAGACGCAGTTTTTTCCTGATTTTTGCCACTTCTCATAAATTCCGGTCGGTTTACGTAACCCAAGCATTGTGCTCCCCGGGCATAAAGACATAAAGCCTCGGGTTACTCGAGGGGAACAATCGCCAGCCAATATTGGGCCCTAAGCGTTGCTAGCATATTCATCGCCTTCCCCCCATGCGTGGTCACGTTTTTTGGGGGTGAGAGTGGAGTTGGTTTTGCCGTAGGGATATAAGAAAATTTCGCCCCCAGGGACCCACGAATAATGGCCGGCGTCAAAGTTGTGGCAATCCGGGAATATTGGACCGCAGGGGACGTCGCGGAGAAGCCGTTCAAATGGGCGACCGCCTTCCGAGGTTCTGGAAAAAGGTTATTTAAAGGGATACCCAAGGTTTTGGAGGCAAATATATAGTTATGGATTCCGGGCAGTACAAAAGACGCGCGAATTTTGTGCGGCAATGGGGCGCCATTTCCGCACAGAATTCGGACACCTTTCCCTCTTGTGGCGTCCCCATTCCACCCAATGGCTTGCCACTATGGCCTAATGGATAGCACCCAGGCCTACAAAGCGGTGGTCCCGGGTTCGACCCCCGCGCGCGGCCTGGTTTTTGCTTTTTGAGCCCCGAAAAGGTTGGGCATCCCTTTATTCAAAGAATTTTGCACTCGATAGCCTGTAGACCTTTATAATCGAATGTTGAAAATGGGCCAATCGACGTTGGAAAATTTTGAATTCTAATTTTTTAGGCGCTGTCAAAAAATAGAGATTAGCAGAGGCAGAATTTAACCCGCTGCCTAGAACGCTACAAACTACCCTTTCTGTTTTGAAATAATTTACTCATCTTGCCGCCTCCTACGAATCCAAATAAGACAAATCGAAACTGTGTGCGCAAAAAATGAAAAGTATTCCTGATATTTATGATACCAGGAACACTTTTAGGAGCCTACAAACTACAAATAGTTATAGTTTTTCGGCTTCCGCTTCTGGTTTTTAGAGCCTCACCTTAGTGCATTATTCATGCACCCATCGAAAAGCTGCTTGCCGGCCGATTGGATCTGGGTGACCGGCAGGTTCAAGTCAATCGCGTTGGCAATTTCTGGAAAATTTTAATTACCGCTTCACGGCTCCGTAAAATAAATTTCTCGAAAAACTGTTATTTTTCTCCGGCTATTTTAGCAATTATCATCATGAAAAATGAAATGCTCGAAATTTCTCGCCTTCCAGGTACCTTTAATCCAAAAATACTCCAAAAACCCACCCAAAATAGCCGTCAACGTATTCTCCTCCAGCTCTTCCTGATAGGTCACTTGTTTCGCCAAATTCTGCTGATGATACTTCCCGCATGAATATCGATAAAAATTCTGGCAAGCCGGCACTGTCTCGTCCACGTACGAACTGATCCGGAAGGCTAAAATTCGGCGCTTCAATCTCGGTTTTTGGAACCTAATTTGCATGCAGTTATCCGCGTAACGCTCACCGTTTAGTAGGCAAGGGCGGGTAAGGCAAGGCACTGAAAAGTGTTAGGGATTAGTGGCTGCGACAAAAAACGGGTGACAACGCGACGCTACACTTGACGTAGTTAATTAAAAACAATCAAGGAGGAGCGGCCGAAAAATGCAATTTCCTGGATCTTTTTCGTACTACTTTACTGCCATAAATTGCCTAAAACCATTTTGTGTTTAGAAAAGGGGTTGAAAACAATTTTAGTGATATTTCCTTGCTGTTGAAATATATTTTCTTGTTTTTCGTGCTTATATGCTTTTATTAATGCTATAATTTACTTGTCACAAAGTTTCTATTAAGAAATAGCTTCTAAAATATATTTTTGAAATGGAGTGATTTTGCTAATACATTTTTTAAGCTTGTATTGTTTTTTGTAGGTTTTGTTAAGGTTATATTTTAGTAAAATTAACGGCAAAACAAATAGATTAGCATCATTTGCAACCTCAAAACCTTAGAAAAAACGCACCAGCATCAATGCAAACTTTCGAAGCGCAATCATCAGAAGATTTCCCCAAATTGTGGAACCCGTCGCTCGTCACGGCCCACGCGATGAAGAGCCCTAAAATACCAAAATTCAAATTTGCTGGCGATATACCGATTGCAGTCAGGAGGACGAGGCCAAAGAGTACCGCCAGTATCATCGTGCACGTTGAGAAGGGACTGAAAAATCGTGAATTTCATTTATCAAGCTTTTTCGCGATTCCACGCTTTATAGGCAGTCTAAAATGCCGACAAAATGTTTCTGATCCTTGAAAGTCTCTGTGGTGCATGCACAACCTTATTTTTTTTAAAGAGATACCCAAGCTTTTGGCGGCAAATACAGGGTGTCCCAAAAAATCCCCCCCCTAGCCGGCCGCAGACGGGTCCGATTTTTACGATTTAGGTATCTATCGAAAGCTCTCGGAAAGGCGATGTCGGGACGCCTGGTCGATTTTCATAATTTGGAAATTTTTCCATCAGTTACTAATGTTTTTGCAAAATGGGTGGATTTTCTGATGTTGTTCTGACCAGGGGATTTTTTACAAAAATCGCAATTTAAGAATTTCTACGCGTCTCCTGGCAACCCAACGACAGCTTTTTGAAAGCCGTTTGCCAAAACACAGCTTGGACAGCGCTTAAATCGGTTAAATTGCGTTTTGAACAAAAAAGTCTGTCCTTTTGGCCTGAAAAATGCCGAAAATCGAGCAAAAAATTCCGACATTTCGAAAATCGACCAGGCGTCCCGACATCGCCTTTCCGAGAGCTTCCGATAGGTACCTAAATCGTAAAAATCGGACAGGTCTGCGGCCGGCTAGGGGGGATTTTTTTGGGACACCCTGTATATAGTTATGGATTCCGGGCAGTACAAATGACGCTCGATTTTGTGCGGAAATGACGGCCCATTAGCGCACAGAATTCGGATACCTTTCCCTCTTGTGGCGTCCCCATCCCATGGCCTAATGGATAGCATTCAGGCCTACAAAACGGGGGTCCCGGGTTCGACCCCC